AATTGGAAACGACCTAAGAACATATCTGAAATCCGCAGTTTCTTGGGCTTGGCTGGTTATTATCGACGTTTTGTTGAGGGCTTTTCGATCATTGCTTCTCCTTTGACAAAGTTGTTAAGGAAGAATGTGTCGTTTGACTGGGGTGAGGCACAACAGGAGAGCTTTGAGAAATTAAAGGCGGTTTTGACTCAAGCACCGGTGTTGATTCAACCACAGTCCGGGAAGGATTTTACAGTGTATAGTGATGCTTCACATTCAGGACTTGGTTGTGTTTTAATGTAGGAAAGTAAGGTGGTGGCTTATGCATCCCGTCAGCTGCGACCGCATGAGTGTAATTATCCTACTCACGATTTAGAGTTGGCAGCAGTAATTTTTGCCTTGAAGATATGGAGACACTATCTTTATGGAGAGAAGTGTTACATTTTCACAGATCATAAGAGCTTAAAGTATCTTCTGACCCAGAAGGAACTTAATTTGAGACAGCGTCGCTGGTTAGAGCTTCTAAAGGATTATGATTGCGTGATTGATTACCACCCTGGTAAAGCTAACATTGTAGCAGATGCTTTGAGTCGAAAGACGGTATCGGAGTTGAGGTCTTTAATGGCCAAGATGAATTTATATGACGATGGCACTTTGTTAGCAGAATTGCAAGTTAAGCCGACCTTGGTTGATGAGATCAAAGCTAAGCAGCCCCTTGATAGCTCCTTGCTTTCCATCTTTGAGCAAGTAGAGTAGGGGACAAACACAGATTACGCAATTGATCAGGATGAAGTTTTATGCTTTAAAGGTAGATATTGTGTGCCTGATGACGCTGAATTGAGGCAGACTATCCTTACTGAGGCTCACAGTAGTCCATATGCTATGCACCCCGGAGGAGATAAGATGTACCGGAATTTGAGAGAGAGGTATTATTGGACTGGTATGAAGAAAGACATATCTGACTTTGTGGCTAGGTGTTTGACTTGTCAGCAAGTTAAGGCAGAACATCAACATCCATCAGGTTTGTTACAGCCTATCAAGATTCCTGAATGGAAATGGGAGCGTATTACTATGGATTTTGTTACTGGCTTGCCTATGACTCCTTTGAAAAAATTCAGTTTGGGTGATTGTTGACAGACTTACAAAGTCAGCTCACTTCATTCCTGTGCGAGTAAATTATACTTTGGATAAGCTGGCAAGATTGTATATTTCAGAGATTGTCAGATTGCATGGTATTCCATTGTCTATTATTTCTGATCGAGATCCGAGATTTACTTCGAGATTTTGGAAGGCGTTACATACGGCTTTGGGAACAAGATTGGATTATAGTACATCCTTTCATCCACAAACTGATGGTCAATCTGAGAGAGTAATTCAGATTCTGGAGGATATGTTGCGGGGTTGCGTAATCGATTTTCATGGTAGTTGGGAGAACTTTTTGCCGTTGGCTGAATTTGCTTACAATAACAGTTATCAGACCAGTATTCGTATGGCACCCTATGAAGCACTCTATGGGCGTAAATGTCGCACTCCGATCTGTTGGACTGAGTTGCGTGATAGGAAAACGTTGGGACCTGAGTTAGTGCGAGAGATGGAGGACACAGTCAGATTAATCCGTGACCGTCTGAAAGAGGCATTTGATAGGCAGAAATCTTATGCAGATCAAAGAAGGAAGGATATACAGTTTGAAGTGGGAGATCGGGTCTTTTTGAAAGTTTCACCCTGGAAGAAAGTATTGAGATTCGGGCGTAAGGGTAAATTAAGTCCAAGATTTATTGGACCATTTCGTATCTTGAAGAGGGTAGGACCTGTAGCATATCAGCTTGAGTTGCCTTCTGAGTTAAGTCGTATTCATGATGTTTTTCATGTATCAATGTTGAGGAGATACCGTCCAGATCCAGGTCACATTATTCAGGTTGAAGAAGTAGAGCTAAGACCTGATTTGTCATATGAGGAGGAGCCCATTCAGATTTTAGAAAGAGATGAAAGAGTTCTTCGGAATAGGCGAATTCCAATGGTCAAAGTTCAGTGGAGTAATCGAGGCCCCTCAGAAGCTACTTGGGAGACATTGGAGTCAATGGAGGCTCAGTTTCCTCAACTATTCTCATAAGGTAAATTTCGAGGACGAAATTTCTTGTAGAGGGGGAGAATTGTAACAACCCGGAATAAAATTTAGAGAAAAAAAAATTTAATTAAGTAATTTGGCAAAATTTGAGGATTAAATCGAAAGTTTTCAAAATTGTAGGCCATTTTAGAAGTTAAAGGAAATTCAGGGACCAAGCCCTGCATTACTCCTTTTAGTGTCGACAAAAAATTTCATTTAAGCGTATGAATGGTTTTCTGTTTTCAAAACAGAAAACAATTATGAAATTCCTCCTCCCGCACTCTACTTCAAAGCCGATTCCGACGCCGTCCGAATTCCGATCGTTGTTTTGAAACCACCGTTGTGTTCATCATCGAGCGAGGAACAAACCCTTCAAATTAATTGAAGCGAAACGCGGCCAAACGTCGGGAATTTCCAGTCAAAGTAGCGACGGTTTTGTTAGCTCTATCGCCGAGGAAATCTTAAATTCACCGCTGATCGTTGCTCCGTTTACGACACCTCCCGCACCATCGTGTTCCTTGTGCCGTTCCGAGTTCACCGGTGTCAACCTTGTCCGCCGTAGACGGCGGCGCGTGAGGAGGTGGTGCAGTCAAAGATTCGGCCGATTTGAAATCGAGCTCTCCGCCGTTCAAAAATTTGAACCGATCGTTGTAAGTATCTTGAAATCGCTCAAAATAATTTTTAGAAATTTTTCCGGGATTTTTAGGGCCCCGAAGGACGCCTCACGCGCCACACGCGCCGCCGCAGGGCGAGTGGCTGCTGGAAACCGGTTTAACCGGTTTTCAACCGGTTCTGACCGGTTTCAACCGGTTCGAACCGGTTTGACCGGTCTGAATCGGTTTGACCGGTCTGACCCGACCCGACCGTTGACCCGACCCGACCGTTGACCGTTGACCGTTGACCATTGACTTTCTTTGACCAAAACTTAAAATGGCTTTGACCGAGCATTAAACGACCGTTAATCTTTTCCGAGTATACCTATCCTGATAGTTTTCGACGTGCCGAATCCGTTTCCGTGGTCCGTTTTGTCAAATTCGAATCCGAAGGTCTCCAAATCTACGGTCAAAGTGGTTGACTTTGACTTTGACCAAGAATTTGAATTTTCGAAAAGTCATACTTTATGTTTTTCGACGCCCTGATTCCGATTCCGTAATCCGTTTGGCCAAATTCAGACTCGAAATACCTCAAATTGATAGTCAAACCCTAAAAATGTGTATATACTTAAGAAGTTTAGCTTTGAACAATTAAATAGGATTTGAGACTGATAAATATTATTGTTTGAAGGTACAAGAGACTCTCCGGATCGTTCGACAGCTCGACCCAGCTCTTCTAGATCAGTTAAACCACGTGTGCCAGTATTTACCCGTTCGAAAACTGTAGCAGAGCGTGGTGAAACCAGCAATCAGTAGATTTGTTATTTGAATCTATTGTCGAGGTGTGTTCCCTACTTGTTATTGAACTGTTTTATTGGTTTAATACGTGGTACACCGAATTCATTGGCTATTGTTTTATGGATGCACCAATTTAATGTGACAATTTATGGAATATGGCTGCTATCTAATTTTTGTTTTGAAATGGTATATGATTACCATGTTTTTGGATTTATGGAGTTTATGTCACGGTGCAATTGAATTTTGGAATTGAAATACGATGGAATAGCTCTGATCAAGCTAACTGGGCCTAATGTGACTCTTGAGGGCCCCAAGATGTTTCATTAGGTCGGCTTTCCTTTGCTGTGTGCTTAGGGTAAGCTATATGGACTTATTGACTTGGGCTTAAGGATACAAGCTTCAGAGCCTATCCTTAAGTCGGCTTTCTTTTTGCTATGTGCATAAATTAAGCTATATGGAAATAATTTTGGGAACTACTGATGGTGTACCAGAAAAGGGTTTAAACTATGATTTTCAAAAAGTTAAACTCTTTTACGAATTTGTGAGATTACTGGAATATGATTTGTACCTATTGTGATTTTATGGAAATGTTGGGACACACTGAGCCTAGCTCACCTTTTGAAAATGTTTTCCCCTTTCAGATACTGTTGGGTAGATACCTTGGTTCGAGCACTTGGAGGATCAACATATCTCTTGAAGTAAATCAGATTGTAATGTTTTTATCTGGCAAGTTTACTTTATTTTGGTGACATGGACCTTATTTTAAAATATCGGATTTTATAATGATAACACTTTTGCTACTACTGCTCGGTTCATTGTGATTTTGAATTTGAAGACATGTTTTAAATTAAATTATTATTTATTTGTACTATATTTACAAGTTGGATTTTGATAGTATAAATTGTTTATAATTTCATGTTTTTATAATGTGATTTTATATTGATGGAATAACGGTTGCGAAAAATGTCTTTAATAATTATAATGTGATCCACTAGACTTAGTCGAAACGCATAGGCCGGGTCTAGGGGGTTACAAGGACACTATAAATGTATAAACTACAAAGTAAGACAGACCTGAGAAAGTAACATCGTAACTTTTGACTGTGTGAATACATAATGACATTCAAATCTTGGGGAAGTAATTAAACGTTCACATTAGACTAAAAAATATACAATAAAAAGGTTTGCATTAGTTGACACTATGAAAAAATAAAAAATATATATTTGAGTTTCTTTCATATATAGTACAATCAATCATTACAAATACTAATTGGATAATAAATCATTAATAAAAATAAATAAATAATTCAAATAAGATGATAGAACTATCACATATATTATTCCAAAAAGCTAATCCTGTTTTTTTTTTTAAAAAAAATTGGGCCTTAACGAAAAAATTTCAAGCCCATACCCAATTGACCTTATGTTTTATTTGATAGGTTAAGATATGTATATATAACTATAAACTCAAACAATTTTCCATGCATCTGAATCTAGTATATATATATACATATTGAAGAAAAAAAATGAATCTAGTAATTTTGTTTCCCTTTGAACAATGAAAAATATGTGTACAGTATAATGAACTTGTACAATTGAGAAAAAGTTAAATTCTAGCTTTGGTCCCTCCATTATAGCGAAGTTAGAGATTTAGTTGATCCACGTTCCCCTTTAGGCATTGGTAGCGAGAGCTTTCACAACCTATCGACCTTCTTCCATTGAAGAAGTGATTTCAACGTTAATTTCCGCATTAGTAAACGAAGAATCTGTAGCAGAAAAGGGTTTCCTCGTCAAGTACGCCGGCTGTTTCGGAACGGGAAGGCTTAAGTTTTGAGTGCTGAGCATGAGCACAACATCGACCATGGTGGGACGGTCACCGGGATCTTCCTGCACGCATAACATCCCAACATGTACGCACCTCATAAATTCACTTGCATTGCAACATGGCCGTACTCTGTCGTCCATTAAATCCAATGCCTTGTCTTCTTCCCACAATCTCCATCCCTGCAACAAAACCATTAAAAAACCGCAGTACTCAGCAATGGCACGGGGCACGGTCGACATGGAAACTAGTGAAAAAAATGCATCTCTACTTACATAACCAACAAGACTTGGACCATCTCCTTCCACCTGATAAAATCTCGTGTTCTTTTTCCCGCTAATGATCTCTAGCATGACTATACCAAAGCTAAAAACATCGGATTTTACAGAGAAAAGGCCATCTACTGCGTATTCTGGCGCCATATATCCACTGCATGTACAGCACTCGTGATTAATCAGTACAGTACACTTTTTGTATAAATTTCTCGGTTGCTCTGAAGTTTACTCACTATGTTCCAATTACTCGATCTGTGTTTGCTTCGGTTTGTTTTCCTTGGATCATCCTCGCTAGGCCGAAATCGGATATTTTAGGATTCATCTCTGCATCAAGTAATATGTTACTGGTTTTTAGATCCCTGTGAATGATTCTCAACCTTGAATCTTGGTGAAGATAAAGCAGTCCTCTAGCAATTCCCAAAATGATGTTGAAGCGTGTTTCCCAGTCCAGTACTTGGCTTGATGATTCACCTTTAATTGTTCTCATTCAACACCATAAGGTACATCAATCACCCTATATATACACATATATAGCATAACATAGATAGGCTTTTAGTTGTTAATTACCAAATAGCACAGAGTCTAAGCTTTTGTTGGGCATATATTCATAGAGTAGAATCTTTTCCTCTCCTCTAATGCAATATCCCAATAGCCTCACGAGATTCCGATGTTGAAGTTTCGCGATTAACACGACCTCGTTCTTAAATTCCTCCAAGCCTTGTCCCGAAACACTTGAGAGTCTCTTTACGGCGACTACTTCCCCTCTTGGAAATTTACCCTGGCATCATTTCATAGCCTTTGTAAGATAATAGAACTATCAAAGGATATATGAAAAGTACTTATCAAAATTTGGAAATCAATACCATGTAAACCGGCCCAAATCCTCCTTTTCCAAGTTTGTTTTCTTCAGAGAAATTGTTTGTTGCAGCTAGTATGCTTTTGAAATCGAAGAACGGTACATCTATGCCTGTGCCATCTTTTTCCTCGAAATGGCTCAAGTCCATTAACTGTTTAACCCGTCTCTCGGTGTCATACCGATGAAGAGAAGCTTTTGTATGTTTTGCTGAATTCCAAAGAAACATGCATGTTGGTGAGTACAACAACAGTCTCTGTTAAAAGCATCGGTTTCTTGTCGTTAAACGCCTTACCTCGCCTCTTTACCGCCTTTTTTCTCCACATGTATATCAAAACTACAACGCACAAAACGGTCGTCCCAATTGGCAGAGATATTCCAAGGATCAAAGGGAGTCGCCTGCGTCTACTAGAAGACCCTTCGAGCTGTCCAACTTCTGCAAGAAAAGGTTACAGGGTAATGGCTATGCCTATATGTTACATAATTTATGCATCAAATTTAACACTAACCTTGGGTACAGTTCAAAGCTGATCCATCCCAACGAAAGGTGGTATTGCAAAGGCACCGTCTCAGTCCATTTCCTGTTTCATTGCAAGTTGAATGCGGCCAATCCTTGCAGTCTGCCGATGAAGTACAGATTGGCTCTAGTGGTGGCTTCCAACTAATTTCGACTTCAACCGTATCTTCTAGTGAAGAATCAGAAGTTAAGTTGCCAACACTGCCTCTGCAGTTGCCGGTCACATTGAATGGCGAGGATTGATTGAACTGCAAAATTCTGGTTGCTGAAGAATGCATAGCAGAACAATTATCTGCCTCTTTGGCTTTCATTTGGATGACGAATGTTCGTGCATCTGGATTGACTGTAATGACGCTGTAGTTTCCATTAGGTGCCGTGAAACTTAGTTCGTCTGTGTCGTTATTACAGTCGAAACTGAAGTACATTAGATCACCGCATTCTGGTCCAGTGCTTAGGGGATAGGGGATCAAGTTCGTGCCACAAGTCCCACAATTTCTAGTTGTTGCTTCTGAAAAGTAGAATAGACATAGTTAAATCAAGTTTTTACATCATATTGTTACTATTTTCCTTAAGAAATCTTTAGGGTTTTCTTTGAATGCTGCAAATTGCAACATCAGACTAGAGATAAATAACTACAGCTTAGAGTACTTTTCTTGCTCATCTCTGCAAAGTAAAGTACCTATATCCGACAGCGCAACCCTGAGTTTGAGATCATAGCCACCGTCTTGATCCTCCTGAAGATTTTTGAGATCATCTGACCAAATCAAACATGAAATAGTGGAGTCTCTCTGGCCAACAAATGCGTACGCCTGGCACTGGCAATCCTTGAGGCATTCCTCCCTGCAAGTTGTTTCATCATTAACAGTAATTGGTGAGTATGAATCATCCACTTTCATTCTTTTCAAGCTCACAAAGTCATTGCCACATGATGATGAAGAGTTTCTGGTGCAGCCATCCGAAAAATCACCGGCGTTCCATTTTTCCAAGAATTTAGGTTTGAAACCGGGTAAAAATTTGCATGGCAACCAACTTTTGAAATTGCAGGTGCCAAAGTTGCCACAAAAATTGAACATACTACAGTTGTTGTTTGGCTCCCACCATATCAAGTTCCAACTTTTCATGTCTGCATCCAACTCCCAATACTGTAAATGTCCAGTAGAATTCAACACCATTCTTTTATCTTGGTAATCTTGTGTTTTACTCTGGCTGAAATTCCAGAAGTTGACTAATGTAGAAGGCAGTTCATCTGCTCTACCTGATCTCCAGTAAATGGTGCTCTTTTCCATGACAACAGGCCGCGATTGAGGATCTAGTCTGAACGTGAAGTTTCCCGGTGATGGATCATCTTCACTGCGCCATGAAGTTAATAAGATATCGGCATTCATCTTCATACCATAAAGAAATGTATCCGTCGGATGCTCAAAGCTTTGCCAAAGATATATTTTCGAACGATCGAGTAGAATCAAGTTACCGGTATCGCTAAGCTTCACCACCGGCGTCGAACGCTTAACCCCAGGCTGTGCTGACCAGTAAAGGTTCCCTTTGTCATCGGATAACTTCAGTGTGCCATCTGCAACAGATAGAACTCCAGTCTTATCTGGAACTGGATTTTTTCCATTGGCAACCCAAACAAGTATTTTTGGATTAGAGATATACCATATCCCCACATATCTCTTCACGTTGGAGATGCTTGATGGGCTAAAGAACCCCAGTTCAAATCTATTTCCAGCTGAAACAAGAGTTTCCCCATCTGCGAGTCTACTTTTTTCTGTTATATTATCTCTAGCGAAACAGAACTGAGGGGAAGAAAACAGAATCAAAATTGTGTTGATAAATAAGATGGAAGAAACGATGTTAGGTACTGACCAACTTGAAGCTGCTTTCATCTTCTGTGGAACATAATTTTTCTGCAAAGATCGATAACTTTCTTCTTCAGGGATGATTAATTATGTGTGGACTAATACGAGCCAGTAGCTAAAATTCGACATGTTTCCTGGAAAGTCCAATATGTTTACTTCACAGCAACGAGAAAAACAGGGTATTATATTTAAAATAAGGCTTAATTAAAAAATAATTACTCAAATTATGCATCTTCTCACTTTAGGTGCTTAAAGTTTTTTTTATCGAGATGAGTGCTTAATATTTTTAATGTTACATTTTAAGTACATATTTCATCACGGTCATTAAAAAAATCTGTCAACCACTCAAAAATTATTAATTTTTAAAAATTACTCATATAAAATTATATTAAAAAATACAAAATTATTAATTTTAGAAAAAACCATAAATTTCTCAAAAAAAAAAAAGCCTATAAAATATTTAATTCCAAACTCACCGGCAGTCATCGCCACCATTAAACGGAGGGCGAAGGGCTGCCATCGTTTTCGGCAATTTCTATGGATGTCTCCAACAATGCATGTTGACGCCAAACATCAAGATTAAGCTTAGAAATTTGGATATTCGAAAATTAGGGATTTAGAGATTTGAGACGACAATCAAGATGATTGTCGATCATTAGATGGTCGGAAATTGGTGGGTGGCCGTCTGGTAATGATGACGGCTGACAATAATGGGAGTTTGAAATTAGAAATTTGAAGGGTTTAAGTTTTTTTTTAAATAGAGAATTTTTCATTTTTTAATTTGTTTAAAAAAATTTAAGTTTTTATTTAAAGAATATTTATAAAAATAACACATGTCATGTTTTGAGTGGTAGTTAAATTTTTTTAACAATCTGACGGGTGAGACACCTAAAATGATAATGTTCAAAACATTAAACACTTATCTTGGTAAAAAATCTTTAAGCACCTAAAGTAAAAATAAAATATGATTTAAACATATATGTTTTTAATTAAACCTAAAAATAATAATCTTGGACTGATGTTCTTGTTGGCTTCCTGCTAAAGTGAATTATTCCTACCAAAGAAAACAAAAGCCTTGGCATGATCTGCACTTGATAATTCTAAGGTAAAGTACACAAATAATTTCTCCTATCGAAGGTTGTTTTGTTGAGTTTCTTAATTATTAAAAGTTATAAAATAATCCTCTAATTATAGAATTCTATTTTGTTGAATTCATCGACTATTAAAAGTCACAAAATGATCACCCGACTATTCATATATTCTAAACTCATCATTTTTCGTTAAAAATTTAACTGTCAGCTAAGCTGGATGTTAACATGTTGATTGATATATGATAAAATCAGATCCTAAAACCGTTTGAGATGTGTATTTTGTGGATCGACTCTCCGTTTGCATTATGTCATTGAACTAGTGCTTAAAATATTATGTCGTCGAGCTATTGCTTAAAAACAACGATGATGCCAATAAATATCATTAAAATATGATTTTATCATATCTCAGTCAACAGATTAACGTCCAGCTCAAACGAAACGTTAATTTTTTAACAGAAAATGACAAGTTTGGAACATATGAATAGTAAGGTGACAATTTTGTAACTTTTAATAATCGGGAACTCAACAAAGCAATACCTTATAGTTGAGGGACTATTTGTGTACTTTACCCATTGTTATATATGTTTGTGTGGATTGTCCCACATATGTGTATATAGAACGCGGTTTAGGACTTTAGACCTGGCCTGCTTTACATTTTATTTATATATTATTGTAAGCTGCACATGATGCTGGCTGCTGCAAACTAAAATAATTTCCATTTCATTGTCAACTTTAGATATACCCCTCTCCTGCTTGGCGTCAATAACATCTCAACTACCAAACACAAAATCAAAACACTTTTTAAGCACTAATAGTCAGAAACATACCTCCTTGTGTTACTAAAGAATCAAAATGGTCTGATATAATTGAATGTGTTAATGGCATGAATGTCTTTTTTGTTTTATCATTTTTATCAATATAATATCTATACTTCTTAGTCCCCCAATTACTATTTTTGTTTCATTTTGATCACATAACTATATCTTTTTCAAGACCATACATAACATTACGTTTTGATTTCACTTTGGTCATCCACCGTTTCTCCAACCCCTAACCGTAACGACAAATTGACAATTGCAGTGTGGAGAAACACTTTTGACTGATTGCGTATTCTTGCATTCACACAATGTTGGGTGTATGACCAGTCGCGAAAGTAAGGGGTGTTGGGTGGTTGGTCAATCGCGCAACTTTTGGTGTTATGTCGATTGGCGACGTTTGTAATTGTGGCGGTTAAATTTTGTTAATGGATTGAAACTATGGTTATAAGAAATTTTGGGCTTTTATAAAAAAAAATATTATTTTAAGTTTTAAAATTTAAATAAAAAATTTAAAATTTTATAAACGTAACACATGTCAACTAACGTTTTTTTAACTTCATGATGGATCAGAAACCTAAAAAGATAACGTCACAAACGTTAAACACTTATTTTGAATAAAAAAATCTTTAAACACCTAAAATTAATAAAGAGTATAATTTAAACACTTATTTTTACATTAAACCTAAATTGAGCAAAAATTAATAAAAGAATCAAAGTGAAAATTTTATTAAAACATGCAGATAACTTAAAATTCATTTAAGAAATAAATTTTAGGAGTATGTGATTATTTTTCAAACTATATTGGGTCAAGTGGACTTTACACAAACCTAAAGGGTTACTGCCCTTTAGTATGTATTTTGAAAAGGTTAAATTCTTCTATTAATCCTTTTGCTATGTACGTGATATGGATTTAGTTAATGTACTAGTATAAGTTATTAATTTTTAGTCTATGTATTTCTCAAAATTTAAATTGTAAATATGTTTGAAAATATTTAATTTTTATTATATTATAAAAATAAACTTATAAGATCACTTTATTGTACAAATTTACCCTTGTACTAAAGTGTTGTCGTAGAACTTTAAAAAGATAAAATTATAAGCAAACAAAACGTTTAAGGGTGTTTAAAAATAATTACAAATATACAATTTATTCCAACTAAAGCTTTACATATTAATTCTTAATCGTGCTTTTTTGGGCAAATTACACATTTAGTACTTAGACTATCAGTTTTAGTTTGTTTTAGCATTTAAACTTTTATTTTTTTTAAAAGCATACATAAAGTTTAGTTTTTATTTCATTTTAATACCCCACCGTTAAGTTTTGAAAAAAATGAAAATTTGTACTAAAATAGATCAAAATTGGCAGTTTAGGTACTAAACTCATTAAATTTTTAATGATGGGTATTAAAATGAAACAAAAACTAAATTTTAGGTATGATTTTAAAAAATTAAAAGTTTAGATACTAAGATAGACTAAAACTGATAATTTAAGTACTAAATGCGTAATTTATCCTTTTTAAATTAATGTCAACCCTTACAAAGTAGTCCCAAGTTGAAAAGGTCCAAACTTGTTTAATAGTCACTTCTAATACTCACTGTCATTTCATCTTTAATAAGGAGATTTTTCTTGGGTAAACTACAATGGTGATCCCTTTTGTTTTCAGTTTGTTTTATTTTACTCAGTAGTTTTGAAAAAGTTACGTTCTGGTTAATTTTGTTTTTGATCTGTCTTATTTTGGTCACTAGACCATTGACTCCAATTGGTTTACTGACATGACGTGCCAGTAAAAATGGTTAAATATTAACTTGACCCTTTTATTTTAGACAAAATATTAATTTAACTCTAAACTTTAGGTAAAATACTAATTTAACCCTGAACCTTAAATAAAATATCAAATTTACCCTTAAATCCAATCAAAGTCTCCGCCACCCATCCCTGAATCTTGTTCAGGTTGTGTTGGTATTCCGACTGACATTAGTTGCTCAAAAAAGGAGTTCCAAAGGAAGGATCTGTAGCCAATGTCACAGCTGCTTCTACGCTTCAACCAAAGGGTGTAGAAGTTTTCCAAGAACCCGGTAAAGAAGGGGGAGATGGATTAGTCTTATCAATCCAGATTTGGAGGTTGAAAGCAGGCAAAATGGAGGAGGGTTCTCTGATAAATTTGAAAAATGGTAATTTAGCCATGTTTTGACGACTCCTTTGATGTTTAATTTTTATCTGTTACAAGTTTTTACATAATTTAATATGCCACTCTCTTTCAGGACAAACTAGAAGCAATGGAAGTTGTCATCCTACAAATCGGTACAAGTTGAAACTACTAAGGCCTGGCCCGCAATGTTTCTTTCATTTGATTAGAATAAGAGAAATGTTTGGAAAACCGAAAGTTTTTGTCATAGAAATACCTGAAAACAGTAATGGTGCGTCTACTTTTACATCTCATGGACTTGATCCGCTGTCTGTCCATTCTTGGTCAGATGCAGCCCATTCTGAGATACTCTGTCTCAAGTCGGGCTTAATTTAATGGTAACTCAAGCTCGAATGGTTAGGGATGGATCGAAGAAGTAGGTGTAGACAGTCGTCTTCTAAAATTCTAAAATTCTCTTATATTTTAAATTTTTATGTATTTTTTATTGATAATTTATTTATGTTGTGTGAAATTTTATAAGTTTACTCCCTTGTGAAATTTTATAATTTCTCTCTTAAAATATAATCTTGTGTCCGTCCTTCAAAATAGCTCTATGTAAGAACTAATTTTCATATGATTGAAGCACTAATTAGAGCAACTGGTGGAAGTTGGCAATCAAGTTTGACAAAGAAGCATAATGCTAAGGGAAAAAGTATGGGTAGGGGAAGGAAGCGTGAAGTCGGAAGCGCTCCTCCCACCATGATTGAAGAATGCTCAAATCAGTTTCAGTAACGAAAATGGAACTCAAACGTTAAATTCATATTATATTTAAATTTAGAAAATAAATTAGTATTTTATTTAAAGTTTAGGTCAAATTGGCAGATTATCTAAAATTCAAGGGTTATTTTAACCATTTTTACTAACATGTTATATCATCAAACTAATATGAATTAACGGTTCAATGACCAACATGTAAAGAACCAATAACATAA